AGTACAATTTCATGGCTTTTACCCAAAGAAGTTCTCTCCTCAATTATTTATATTTGCAAGTTCACCATTGCAAAATCTGTCTTCTAGATGAAATAATATTCCTCCTAGAATTTCTGAAGGGGGAGAACAAGTGTTCAGTAATGAAGCCCTTAAGAATCTTGCTTTTGGGTTTTTTTTGCATGTATGCAAAAACATACATTTAGATAAAGTTGAAGCTGTCAGGAAATGTTACAGAAAGCAGTAATGTAACATGTCCTGCAGCTACTAGGCTCAATCAAAGCTCAGAAAGGCACTTTTCTGATGTGCTGTATTCCACGTATGCTTACACTAAAATGAAGATGTCCTAGTCAGTAAGGGAGACAGCACGATATAATTAATGACTCCTCTATAGCAGTTTCCCCAGTTATGTCACTGAGTGTGATCTGATTGATTTATAATATATCATTTACATAAGGACTAGTTATTTCTAAACTTTGAAGTCTATGCAAATTTCTCTGCTGCGATTAGCATAGAGCCAATTGCAATGTATTTTAAAAGAAAAAAAAAGAAAAAAAACCCCACCAAACCAGCTATATCCATCCACAAATGTTAGTTTACAGAAAAAATGCTGAAACTCCTGAGCTGAGGAACAGCTATCCTCAGCAAATGCAAGTTTGGAATACTTCTGAATGAAATTAATATCTGCCCTTTGACTGGTCTGCAGAAAAGTATTATTAGGTGTGAGAGACGCTGAATTTTTTAATTTTTTTAAGATGGGAATGAGAAATGGGCTTTGAAAATACATTTCATAGAATTTGCCAGCAGCAAGAAGTAGCAAGCCAATTATGGGTGGTTGAAAATCAACTTTCTGTGATAATCTCTAGATTTCATGTGTTCATAGCTTTCTGAAATACTCATACTCTAAGCTGAATATTTATCATGTTTGGTTTTGTACCAAGATTTCAGAACGTTAGAGTAAAAATCGATTATTTTTTGCATGAAAGTGCAACTTTAGCTGTTGTTGAGGGAGGAGAAAGACCTGACTGTATTCTCTGAAAATAAAGATACAGAAAAAACAGCTGAAGCTGAGAACTGAAACTTAGCTGCTCACCAAAGGCTAGATTCACAAAGGCACTTAACTGCTGTAACACAGCATTTAACTTTTAGCCTTCAGACTTCCAAAGTAGCCGAGTTAGTTTAATGTTTCCCTGTGCCACAAGTGGGAAGGGTTGGTCACCTACAGGTCCATCCGTACTGCTAAGTGACAGGGGAAGAGGGAGCAAGCTTGAGAACAGGGCTCACCGCGTGCTGGGGTCACCGGTTACTTGTTAGCTCTCCTCCTGGCTGTGTGTCGGACCTCTCCACCTGGCTCTCGCCGTGCAGTGCCTGGGCACTGTTTGGAGGGCAGAGACCACCTCCAGAAAGCTGCATCAAGACACCAGTCTTGTTTTGGTCCCCTCCCTTCTTTCCAACGCTAAGCCAAGTGTAGTCTAAGCGCTATCAGACGTAACCTCCCGTCTCACTTCAAAACGTGCAACGTGACATTAAGCTACTCCCATCGCCTGCAGTACTGCCTTCCTGTTATTCCAAACACTTTGAGCTGAAACATAACCACACAAAATAATTATTATGTATTTTAGTCACTCAGGCACCAGGTGGGACCCAGAGGAGACGTAGTGCCAAATACTATGTAGTAGTATGGGATGTGGCCAGCTTGGAGCAGAAGGTGCTAGCAGTAAGCAATGGGAATGTAAGCCAGTCCCTGCCACTTGGCCTCAGAGCATCTGATCTGTGCCTCTATTTATTTCAGCAGCGTAGCATCTTCTGAAACACAGGTCTGCAACATCCAGCTTGGTCAGCAAGGAGCTGCTTGTGTTGGTCTTTGCCAGAGGCCGATACAGATATGTCAGAGGCAGATAGAGACATGTCAGAGGCTCCTGTAGAAATTTTCTCCATCTGCTTTCTGCTTGGAGTCACAGCTTGGCCTTTTATCTTAAAAAATATTACTATTCTCTGAACAGAAGCAGGGCACCTTCCCTTCTTATAAAAATGCTGTTGATGATGCCACCATTTTGTACGGGGGATATTAAAACATTCAGATAAGATATGAGACACCTGGGTCCTCCTCATTCTTTTTGAGTGGTAAGAATTTATCCTGACTACTTCGCAGTGGACTGTGTCTGGGAGGACTCTGGTTAAAGCTGTTCTGTAATGCGAGAAGGATCCAAGATTCACTGGGCCACTGTAAACAGGTATTCTAACTGGCCTTTAGGGTCCTGTCCTAGCAGATCGGGCATATGATCTGGACCTCCGGCAGAGAAAGACATGATAGCTAGTTACCTCTCAGACTACACTTGTGATAAAATAAGGCTTGCATAAGTATTTATGATATTTGATTATGATAATATAAAGACAGGGATTGTCTTCTCTCCTCTAGCTATGCTTTTCAGGAATGAAATTGCCAGGAAGTTTTTGTGCAAGGTCAAGATCCTATAGGTATATGTGCTGTCAGCACAAATACAAAAGTGGGCTTGGGAAGGTGCGGATGGGAGAACATGTGGATTCCAGCTGAACTTAGGCGTCAACCAGGTGCTGACAACCTTGCGTCGACAAGACTTCTGGGCCTGGGAAGAAGCATAATTTTAAGCATGAAAGGAACTTTGCTGATAAAACTCTCATGTGCCCACAGATAGAAACATCTCTGGCTTTAAGCAGCAATTTCAAATTTTGAAAAGTCCATTGTTGACCATAAGTATATGTATTCTGCTTACGTCCCGCTTTTTGTGCTAATCTTTGTGTAAAAATGGGCGTGTTCTAGGTTTAGAGGTATAAAGATAAAACAGTCGGATAAGTGACTCTAAAAAGTAGTTCTGAGCAGTGGAAATAACAAAGTCCAGCTTTCCTTGTATTTGGATTTTCTGCTGTTTAATAAGGTGAAATTTCCCCCTGGTGCTTTTTTTAACCCATGGGTCATTCATAGCATCATTCCTCCACGTGGATTCTTTGATATCTGTGAGGAACTGACCTCATGCTTTAGCCTTTTCCTCAATAAAGGCAGTAAGAGCCTCTCTTCTCTTTTTCTCCCAGCTGTCTATTTTGAAAAAACTTGTAGGATCTTAATGTACTGAGACCTGAAGTCCTCAGTCAAATTTGATTGAAATTGGCTGATGGTTCAAAAGCTATTGGAAAAGGATGGATAAATATACCTTCACACACACCATCAGAGTGTTGTGCTAGTAAAGTGCATTTCCCTTGGAAACCAAGGCAAAAATCACTTCTGAGCATACTCAGAAGCATCTGCTGTAACTCTTTAACAGAGCCATTTTCATGTAAAAATGTCCAGTGTAAAGAGTATGTTCTGCATAGTTCTCTAAAAATCAGTGATTTAACATCACAACGGGAGAAAGAAATTCCAGAGAAAAAGAAAAGAAGTGCCATTTTAGTATAATCCTGATAATACAAACCACATCAGTCAGTTTAGCATGTACTGTTATAGTGCAAAGCCAGATTCATGCCTTCAGCACAAGCTACCATGAATACAGAAAAACAGTTTAATCTCTTCAAATTCATATTAGAAGCGTTGCATTTATTCATAAACCAACAGAATGAGTGAAAGGAGTGCCATCGCTTTGCACCCTCCTGTCCAGGAATTTTGAAATCACCGAGGAACCTGTAGCCCTTTGTCATTGCTCTGGATTGTCACTCCAGCACAAGAAACTTGTGCTCCACTGCACCATGACAAGATGCTTTTGCAAGTAGTACCTAACGTGCACTTTTAATACAAGATAGAATTTCTGGCCTGAAAACGTACATTGTAGTAGTACATACAATTTTAAAAGTCTGAGGTGAAACAATTAAATATGGAAACGAGAGGGCAAGGGAAATAAAATTTACACAAGGAACTTCACATGGTTGTCAAATGTGACCAATTTGAGTGGTTTAAATTTAGATATGGAGGATTCAGTGGATGTTGTCCAGAAGATGATTTATCCTACCCTTCAAGAGGTGGGATAAAGAAACGATGCAAAAAGAACCGATTTCTCTCCACTGAACACGGAAGGCACATTGCTGAATAGATGCCCCCAGCATTTTGATGACTAAAAAAGATAAGGTGAAGGATCATTAGAAATAATGGAGAAGCCTTATGCAAAAACCTTTCCCTAACCTCCACTCTCCCTCTCCAGGAAACCCGTACACTTCTAGTGCAAACTCTAACACATATCACTAAAAATTTGTATCTACATACTACTTCCTTCTGTCAGCCATGCCCAGTGTTAATGACTTTGACTGGAAACCCTAAACTCATTGGGTGTCTTTCCATTGACTCTGGTGGCTGGTTTAAGTTCAATATGTGCAGCCAAGTTGTGCCATGCTGATATGTAAATTGAAATGCATTAGACTGTTGTCTACAATGCTTTTTGTCACTCGAGATGTTGCAAGCATATCAAAAAGCCCTGTCTGATCTCTTTATGAAATTGTCTGAGAAGAGAAGGATATTTTTGTCTGAAAACAGAATGATATCCCTTTGTCATGGTGCAGTTCTGAATAATTTCATAGAAATCATCAAGATTATCCTGGATTTACTGTGCTTTAATAAAGAGGAGAATCTGATCCAGTGACGGTGTGACTGACAGTTCTAGCTTCAGTAGGAAGAGCGTGGGGTCTCCTCAGGAACCTCCGTGTTGGGATCAGTCAGTTACTGTCCAGCTGATTCCCTGGTGTTTTTCCTTCGCTTTCCAGTAGACTTGGTGTGGGAGGGCTGGGGAGGCAAGCACTGCCATCGGTAGGGAGGTGTTGATTTTTGCATTCCTGAACATAGCTGCTGGCTGTGCTAAATGAAGATAATTGGCAGGAATCGATTAGTCTCATAGGAGGGTGTTATTAAGGGTTGAGCTCTTTTCACAAATTGCCCCTTCTGCACTTATTGCTCGAGAGGCATAATCTCAGCGATCCCGAAATTCGCAGAACAGGAGATTGATTTCCTCCTTTTTCTTTTTCTTTCCCCCCCTTAAACTCTGCAGGTCAGCCCCACCCCAGGGTGCATCCGAGCGTTAATGAAGATGTTGTACTGCCCTTACTGCAGAGGACTTCCCACTGTGAAACCTTGCAACAACTATTGCCTCAATGTAATGAAGGGCTGCCTAGCAAATCAGGCTGATTTGGATACTGAGTGGAATCTGTTCATAGGTAAGAAGAGTTTACATATTAGTGGAAGGAAATGCTGGTAATAGCAAACATTTGCAGAGTTTTGTGAGGTTAGAAGACACTGTTGGTCAATATTCGCAATGAAGCAACTGCAGATGCACCTCACTTTCTAATTGACCTTCCTGGCTTGCAGTAAAAAACGACTCTTCCCCCTCCCCGAGCCAGTCACATTTCGTATTATTTCAAAAGGAATGGTGTGGTGTTACGGCTTCTGAGCTGAATTATTATTACATGGTATGTGAAATGTTGAGAAGGCTTTGGTTAAGGATTTGATAACAAGCTTAACATGGCAGAAATAGTATATATTACAGCTGAAAACAAGGCTCTTGCAAGCTGAGAAGATAATAACATTGTATAACATCCAGTCAACATAAATCACAACAGCTGCTGTTCTTAATTCTGGTAGTATATAAGCAAAAAACTTAAAAAGTTACATACATGAGAAATTATTAATTCCTTGTTCTTGATTAAAATATGTTAATGTCTCCCTTTCAGTGTGCTGAATAGAAAGTACCAAACATGCAATCAAAATGTTAGAATGGAGCATAGAATATGTATTTAAGGAAAACTGCTACTACAGTTTTATTCACTAATTCTTCACTCAAGTAAACTAAGAAAAAACATGAAAGAAATCTCCTTTAAACAGCTATTCAGATATTCCATAGCAAAAAAAAAAACCTCCCAGAAGAATAACATTTAACAAGAAGTAAGAGTTTCAAGGTGCTTTTGATGATACACAGGTTGGGATGAGGAATTAGACAAGGCTAATGATAATATAGAAAGAACAGAAATAGCTAGTTACACCAGTCACTAATGAGCACCATAGCCTAGACTGGATTTCATGAAGATAAAAGCAGCTGGAAAACATGGGATAAAGCTCTCTTTATTGCAACCAAAGAAAGGAAATGTTATTTTCTACTTTTGGAAAGACAAGATATGAGCAATCGCATTTTGCTTAATTTCAAACCGCACTGACCAATGTGACTTTGAAAATTTGACTCTGACTCATTCATGGATTTTCACTTTACTCAGCAGAGAGGTAGTGCAAGATGGATAGGGAGAAGAAAACAGGATGAAAAATGAATCAGAGTATGAAAAGTGAAAAACAGCATTGAGTGTGCTATAAAAAGAGCATAAGCCAAAAATGCAAACAGCAATAATAAACAAATGATGCAAATAAACATGCCTTGTACTGGTTAAAGGAGCTGACATCAGAAGCAGTGCTGCATGGAGGGATATCTGTGGGATTACTGGTATGAAAGGAAGAGTCAGTTCATCATCAGAAAGCTAAGTAGGGGCTGATGGGAACACAATGCCAACCTGTTAAAGACATTGCATAAGCTACTTTCCCTTTGTCATTAAAGAGTAAGCAAGAGCTGAGTTGTCACCAATTCTCATCAAAGAAAATAATCTAAGCTTTTAGAAAAAAAAATGTTTTAACTAAAATAAACAACAAAGGTTTTATTAAGGCAAGAACCTGTTCAAATCAAAAGCTGGAAGGTAAAATGTCAGGTCTTAAAAGAAGACTTCCTTTTCTGGTGCTTTAAATTCATTAAGAGTGCTGGGCAGGGTGAGGCATGTGTTGGAAGGTGTGGAAACGCTTACAGATTCAGACTTTCAGAGTCTCTGATGCAAAGCCCTTGACTTCATCAGTGTCTTTCAGGTTTTGATTGTTCCTGCTCTCAGAAAAGAAAAACTGCATGAAAGGTTGTACATTATGTTAAAACATAATGCTAATTTATTAAATACTACGTAATACACTGTGTGCTTCCTTAAAGGAAAGCAGGCTGCTATGCAATTTCCCCTTCAGGTCAGTGATGACAAGGCAGTATAAAGTACAAATATATCAAGACATATTTCCTCTTTCTTCTACCTACACAACTTCCCCTCCGCAACTTGATGGAGAAGGGAATAGAGAAGGAGAGAGAGATTTTCCTGTGTTTGGAAAAGCTATTCTGTTTTATCCCATTTTTGAGGGCTCTGACAGCTTTGCTGAAGATGAGGGTCCTTAGTCCTTCCTTTATGAAAGATTGAAATGCAGCAAGTCGTCTCTGTCTCTGACAGCTGTCAGAGGCTTTCTAATAACACATGCAATTCCCTTAGTACTAAACACAACAAAACTTCTACTCACTGAATTAAAACGAACGGCAGCTCTTTACAGCACCGCTGAGCTATGAAAGATTGGAAATTATGCATGAGCAGTTTTTATCCCTGTTCCGATACTAGGAACCGTGCAGTAGAAAAAAGAAAAAAAAAAAGATAATTTTGTGCACTAGCAGTCTCTGCGTAGGCAGGAATCCCAAATGTTAGTGCATATTCATACACAACAAGACAGTTTTGCTTAGCTCATAATCTGTGTATTGCAAGGTCGTTTTGGCAAAAGTTGGTATTAGGAGAAAAATCTCAGATGTGTTTGTCAGTAACTAAGCAAATACTGTGGTTTGGACTGCATGTTCTAGTATTGTTCTGTAGTTACTGTAATTGCCCAGCAACACTCAAGATCTACAAGTGAGGAGGAGCAGAGGGAAGTAAATGGGCTCTCTGACAACAGGATGTGTTACATGTTCCACCTAGTTTATAAATATAAAAGTCAGGACTGAAATCACATTTATATAGCACTAATAAATCTTGCATCTAACTTCAAAGCTAGGGAGAGTGGGACAGCTTCCCCTAAACATCTGGTGCTTTCCAAGACTTTATAGACTGTGAAAATTGGTAAGAGGTGAAACAGCTGCAGCAGCATGACACATGGTTTATTATATTTTTCCTCTTTGTGTCACCTTAAGGTCTGTGTCCTTTTTGTGTAACATTGCATTATAGGCTTTTTGTATTCTGTTGCCTTCATTATTGCACAATAACAGCCAAACGTAGCACATCTCATTCTAGCAGAATTCCTCTGAAACTCAAAATTTTGCCTGAGAAAGGAAGACAGTCTTTAATAATTATAATTATAAAACTATAATGAATAAACTCTTCTTCCAGGTATCTATATAAAATATTTAAGAGGTATTTAAAAGTAAACCAGCCACACTGACTTTGAAACTGTGTATTTTGACAAAGCTTGCTTCTGATGTTTTGCCTGTTAGTTACCCCTCATAATCTCCTTTGCACCAGTCTCAAGCAAAGTTAGCAAATGCAAGATAAAAAGAATGAGTAGGGGAACTGTACTGCAAAGGAAAGAGATTGCCTCAGGAGAGATGACTGATTCTGTGGAATGGGGAAAAGGGGATTTTCTCTGTCTCATGGCCCAACAGATATAGTCAAAATTATGCTTCTCTCCATGGAGCTATACCAATTAACAGCAAGAAATATCAGGAATCCCACTCTTCATTCTGTCACGGAAACACAGAAGAGACAGAGAAAGCTATTCAGTCCCATTTACAAAGATTCAAACCCCATCTATCTTAGGAAATTACATTCAATTTTAGCAATACTGTTACTCCTCTTTCTCTAGCTTCCCTGTATTTCAGTCCCTGTTACTATCTTGAGGTTCTTTGACTTTCCCTAACATTAGCTTTCTCTACAATTGCTCATTTATTTCCCTTTAACTGCTCTTTTTCTCAGTCAGTCGAGGAATGAGCTCCCCTTAGCGGACACCACACTTTCCCTTGGTGCCTTCATTCAGCTTCAGAATCAACACCAGTAAAAAGATTATTTCCATGAAAGCAAGTGCATCTCATTCTGACCACTGCCGTATCCACAGGTTCGGGGTGGCACCAAAGTGTCCATAACCCATTTGGTTTTTGCAGGATTTCTTTCACAATTACCAGTGGGGTTAACTTTCTCCTGTCTTGAGACAAAAACGTAGATGATACTAAATCTGAATGTCAAGCAAGGTTCTGAGCCAAATATGATAGTCCTTGCTTAAATAATTCAGAACAACAGAAGAGTAAAAATCCAGGTAGCTGCTTTAATCACAGCAATGACTCTACCTGGGCTGTTTTTGTGGACATCCGAAGTAAATCATAAATGCTTTGTTGCTGTATTTAGTGACAAAGTGTACACTAGTGTAGTGCCTGTGTAGTAATATAGTCCACGGATTGCTTTGCTGCAATCCATGGAGGTTTGCAACTGAATGGCTATTTATAGCAGCAGAGATTAAAAGTAATTTTTTTTTTCCCTGGGAATTTTTCAATGGTAAATCAGACACACCTTGACCTTACTCCCATGTTTTAAGAGGTAGGAGATTACAGAAAATACTTCAGAAGTTATGCAGTAACAGAGACGTGCAAATGACTGTGATTCTGATGGCTCGGGATCGCATCCCTGTCTGTGGAAAGGCCCCAAGGGACTCCTGCACTAGTTCATGTCCACAGCTGTCCTTCTGCTCAGGCTGAAGAGCAAGTGGCTTTGCTCGCAGTGTATTCAATATTTGACAAGCTCTGTAGTGTAGCAAGGCAGATCAGCATGTGGTATGTTCACACCGTAGTTTTCAAGGCCAGCAAAGCTGGCAGCCAGGCTCAGAGAGCCAGAGCCACTCTTACTGCCATCGCCCTGCTAGACTTCACCCACAGGAGAAAATCATATCTGCAAGGTTTCAGCAAAAGCTTCTCCTTCAGGTCTTGAAGTTATTTCACTTACTGTCATTACAGCAGCTCTGCGCTACTAATAAACTTTCTCATTACTGTGCTTTCAGAATCCCTCTTTTTTCTTCCCATCAGTGTGACTCAGAAACTTACCTTAGAAGACCTCTTGAGGTAGAGCATACCATGCAGTCTCACTTAGAGCAACCCGATCATTTTAAGTAAAAATCCCCATCAAAGCCTTAACTACTTAGTCCTAATAAAAGCTTTAGAGTGATGAAAATATGCAATCAGTTTTATTTACTGCTTACAAAAGCCCTCTGGACTGTGTTTTCTCTGTTCCGTATGCAAGCACAAGGATAAACATTTTCCTTTTAATGCTTCAAGAGACCACCTAGATTTGTCTTTTTTTAATAGCTTATTACAGGAATAACTGTGCTTTTCAAGACTCACTTTGGT